TATTCCTGGAAAAGTCTGATCTGGCTACATGCCCTTGTTGCATCCTGGCTGGATTACTGAAGCACGCTCTACTTGGGGCTGCCTTTGGAAACTTCAGTGAGTCCAAAAGACAGCTGATAGATTGCTAACGGGAACTGGTTACAGGAATCACATACACACCAGTTACAGCAACTCCACTGAATGCTGATCCATTTCTGGACACAATTGAAAGTGCTGGTTCTAGAAAGCCCTAAATGGCTTGGGTCCAAGCTATCTCAATACCGTTATATTCAAGCAGGCTTTTCTGTAGTGACTGACTCTTTAGGAGACAATAAATGGGATGGTATATATTTTGTTTTAGTAATGTTTTTACTCAACATTTTTAATATAATATTATTAGTTATTTTTAAAATATTTGAATCATTTACTGTTTTTAGCTTTTAACATTGTGTTTCTAATGATGTAAGCTGCCTTGGGCCCTTATATCATTAAATATTTAAAATATTTCAAATAAATAAAAAACCCTGCCAAGTGGACACCTCTTCTATCCACCCACCTCTATGTATCATTCTGGGAAGAAGCATTCTCTGAGATATGCTCGGGCCAAACCCTACAGGACTTGTAAAGTCACTAGAACTTTGAATCATAATTGAAATTAAAGAGGCAGCAAATGAAGCACCTGCCCAATATGCTTTTGCTAACCTATTCCCAAACAATGGACAGTCACAATGTTTTGTGCCAGCTGAAGTTCCTACACTATTTTTGAAGTCTCACAAATAGTTTTTAGTCAATCCCAAATTCTTGGCAGAATGAAGAGAACAGAAAAGTCGGTTCAGATCCATCACCATATAATTCTTTCAGCCTTCATGTCTCTACAGTCTCAAAATGGAAGCACACCCTTGAGATAAACCTACTGTTGGCAAGTGTGTGTCTATTTTTAGCCTTCTGACTTGTGTGTACCTCCAAGCGAGCTTTCCTTTGCACTCAGCTCAGCCAAGAGACAAATAGTTATACGAGCCTTCTCAGAGCCAACTGAACAGCTATTTGAGAAGCAGGCGGAAGGAGATTAGGTACAACATTTTATACCAGCTAAATATAACCATATTGAATGTCTCTTGAGCAACTTATCTGCACATTAGTTTAGACTGACAGAACTTTTTGGGAATGGCATGTGACAGGGCCAACAGCCCAAACACTGACACTTGTGTTTAATGCTAAAAACAGGATCTAAAATGGAGCTCCTGAGTTTATTCAGCCTTCCTTCCTTGAAAACGATTACCCTTCATGTCCCTACCAAATTATCTATTACCTCTATCAGGCTATAGGCACAGCACATACCCACCAGACCCCAGTATATGGCTGAGATGAAATGGCAGCCAAAATTTGCAGTCTTGTTTCAAGCATTTTTTTTGCAGTGCTACTAAAGGTCAAAGGTCACCATCTTTGGAAATGGCTAACCTTAGAAATAGGGCAGCAGCACTTTTACCCCTTTTACTTCTTCGCTGCAAGCTACTGTGTTCCAGTGGCTTAATGACTATTGTACCCTCCATTGCCAGAACTGCTGGATACCTCAGTGACTTCATGAAGACTGTCAAATAATAATTTCAGCAATCCACATCAAATGCCTACCTCATACATACATACTGCTTTGTATGATCTCTGTGTTACCATATTTTTCCATGTATAAAATGACACTTTTTCCTAAAATAATTAGAGGAAGGAGGCAGTCACATGTGTGCTCGAGTGGTCGTTTTATACACGGAAGGAGGCAGTCATATGTGTGCTCGAGTGTCTCTTGCTGCTGCCACTGCCCAATTGCCTCTTCCAGAGCTCACGGCTTGTTCCCTCCGGCAGCCACAGCAGGAGGAGGAGGTGGAGATGGAGGTGAAGGAGCAGTCACACACGCTGGGGAGCCTCTTGTTGCTGCCTCCTCTGCCCGCCCAATAAAACTTCCAGAGCTCACGGCTTGTTCCCTCCGGTGGCCGCAGCAGGAGGAGGAGGTGGAGATAGAGGCGAAGGAGCAGTCACACACGCTGGGGAGTCTCTTGTGGCTGCCTCCCCTGCCCGCCCGATAAAATTCCTCCAGTGGGACTGATGGGGCTCACCTCCAGCTCACATCTGCCTTGTTCCCTCCTATGGCAGAAGCAGCAGTGAAGGAGCAGTCGCACCAGTGGGACTGATGGGGCTCACCTCCAGCTTACATCTGCCTTGTTCCCTCCTGTGGCAGAGGCAGCAGTGAAGGAGCAGTCGCACGCGTTCGGGTGCCTCTTGCTGCTGCCTCCCCTGCCCACCTGATCACCTCCTCCAGTGGGACGGACAGGGCTCAGCAGGAGCCAGAGGTAAACGAGCACTCTCGTCCGCCCACCTGATCACCTCCTCCAGTGGGATGGACAGGGCTCAGCAGGAGCCAGAGGCAAACGAGCACTCTCGCGTTCTCAGGCACCTCTTCCTGCTGCCCCCGCCGTGGGATAACCTCTTCCAGTGATCATCTCCTTAGGGCAGAGGACAAGGTGGCAACGTGAGCTGGAGGTGAGCCCCGGCAATCGGGCGGGCAGCGGAGACAGCAGCAGCAGGAGATGGAGGTGGAGGAGTTGCCCATTAACTGCTCCTCCACCTCCATAAAGGGTCAAAATTAAGGGGTTGTTTTATACATTGGGGGGGGGTCGTATACACGGAAAATATGGTATATGTCATCTAGTTGCATTTGTGGACCTCATAATGGTTCAGTGGCCTCACTTTCACATGGCTCCGTTCCTTCTTGGGGGACCATCCCCAGAGAGTGCAGCTTGATGAGATGACTTCCACCCCGTGGATCCTCAATTGTGGGATCCCACA